GCATATGCTGGCTGGGGAATTCTGGGAGTTGAAGTCCACACGTCTTAAAGTTGCCAAGGTTAAGAAACTTTGCTCTACTCTCAGTTTGCATGACATGGCTGGCTGGGGGAGGTTAGTTTAGGTCCCAAGGCTGTTTTAATGAATTCCCTGTAACCTGGTGTTGACTTGGTGTTTCTGTCAGGCCCAACCCAAGAACAACGGTGAAACAGTCCAGTTGAGTAAAGTTCCTTTATTTGCTTACACCTTATAGACAGAATCTTGCCAGACTAAATCTATATTACTGCAACAAGACCTGGTGTTGACTTGGTGTTTCTGTCAGGCCCAACCCAAGAACAACGGTGAAACAGTCCAGTTGAGTAAAGTTCCTTTATTTGCTTACACCTTATAGACAGAATCTTGCCAGACTAAATCTATATTACTGCAACAAGTGGATACACCCTGGGAGATTCTAGGGAGTGGCTATCCTGAACCTCTTGCTTTCCACACTCCCTCTGTGGACTGTGCTGTCTTTTGTCTCCTTTCCCCTCCTGGAATGCGCCCCCTCCTTCCAGATAGCCTTGATCTCCCACAGTTTCCCCAACATATTAAGTTGCCCTTTATCCAATTAAGCATCTCGTGCAGGCACAGCCAAACACTAGCTTTTTCTTCTCTCATGCATCCGGTGTTCCTAAATTCACTGCTGGGTCTTCTGTTTTCCCTTCCTCTGATCCCATTTGCATGATTACTATACTTTATTACTATATGGAATAAAGTTCCTGGTGTGCAACAGGCAGACAACAAGGGCTCAAAGCCAACCCCAGAAGATTTTGACAACAACATTTGAGACAATAGTTGGTGGCTTGAGCTTTAAATTTTAACACCTGTTTCTGTCTTGTTTCCATAGGTGAACAAATCCAGCCATTGTAGATGATGTGAAAATGCTTGTGTGGCATCCCGCCACTAGGGGGCAAGCTAGTCTATCAAGTGAGAATCCCCCCCACCCCTCCCCAGGAGTAGCTGGTACCTGTTCCAGAGCAGAGAAGATGTTACAGAGCAGAGAGTGAAGGATGGACAATTCCAGGGCCAGGTCAATAGAGTCATCATAGGCACTCAACGGTATGGTACTACCAGGGCTTGAAACACTGCTGAGAAATGATGTCATGGTATCCCAGTTGTGCTCAAGAAACTCATTCATGAAACTCATATAGGCCTCCTTTTCCCCAAACCTATGAGAAATGAAATATCATATCAGTGCCACTGAGGGAGGTTTGACTGAGCCCTCTAGATCAGACATCAATCCCTTTTGCCACTGGCCAGATGAAGAACTTACCCACTTCCTGCTGGGACAATCCATTTCATCTTCCTGGCTGGGGAAGTCAATTGATCCCCCTGGCCCCCAGACCACCAATGCAATGCCACTGGCTAATATAAAGCTGCCCAATTCTTGTCTTCTGGTCCAATAATTGGACCATGAGACCTTCCCTGTGCTTTCAGCTTGACTCCCACCTTCTCCTGAGCAGATGGTGCCATGGGCCCAGCACCATGCCAGGGGAAAATATCCTGCATACTTTCAAGTTTGAGAGCTCAGAGCCAGCCTGAAGTCTCATAATAAGGTTTGGAAGCCTTGGCTACAGGTAAGGCTTTACAGAAAGGCTCAGAGGGCATCTAAGTTCTCTCTCTTTTTCCAAGGCATTGTGATGGCCCTGGATTTGGGCTGAGAACAGTTTGGTTCCCAGTCCTGCCATATAGTCATTGGCTACACAACTTCTCTCTTTGTTCTTTATCTGTAAAATAGGCTTAAAAAGTGATCTAGTTCAGGGTTTTTGAAGCTCTGTTCTGCAGAATCTGGGGGTTCCATGGTGGGTGGCGGAGTTCACTCAAAGGCAGCCAGGGCATCCACAGTGGAAAGGGCAGAACTCATTCCCCCCCCACCACACACACACACACACACACACACACACAAACCACAGCCTCTATTTTGTGGATCAGGAGTTCCAGACTGTTTTTTAATTAATAGATTCTGTGGCTGAAAACATTTGAAAACCCTGATTTAGTTCCCCATAAGGCCACTGCAAACATAAGAAGAACCCAGCTGATCAGACTAAAATCCTATCTAGTCAGCACATCTTATTGCCGGGCCAACCAGATGTCAGTGGGAAGCCCCCAAAGCAAGGCACAAATGTAGCACATCTGTTTTTCTGGTTCTGAGGTTCTGCTACCCTACATTCTGGTATGTGGCAGGTGCTATTTTTTCCTCTCCCAACAGCTCTTATGTAGATTTGAAGGACATTAGAGAAATTCATGGACAATGAGGCCAATTATAGCTATCAATATGGATCAACTGGAAGAAAAAATATCATTATGACTGCACTCATAACTCAGTCACATGGAGACCTTAGCATAGCTCTGCAAAGGTTCAGGCGTATAGATTTAGGCTATTGTACATTATATCATTATTAACATGTGGGAGACCTCAAAGATACTGGTTGCCAATGAGCAACTTCTTATTAAAAGGAGAGAAAAAATGGGGATATCATTCTCCTTGTAATTATTTTCCCTACATCCCCCCTTTAAAAAAGAAGTGTTTTCCTGAAGATATTAGTTATGATATTCTTCTAAACTGCATTTTGTTATGTTGTCCATTACGTTGAACCCTAAGCATATTTTTACCTTTGCACCGTTCCAGACAGTTGTAAAGGCTGCTGCCTGCAAGTGCCTTTTCAAATTCTGTTCCTCCTTTCACACCTTCTGCATGTGCATACCGAAGCACATAATGTTGTTGCTCTGATTATCAGTGGGCTCCTTTCCTTTCCTTGGGACAGATTAGTTTATACCTGACGTCAACTTCGAGAACCCTGAGCCAGGGACCTGGTTACTTACGTGGTGAAATTGGCTAGATTCTGAATAACCTTGGCCACCAGGGTGAGGGTGCGGGAGGTGGTGTCATCGGGGTATTTCTGCGTGAGGCCGAAAAGGCTGGGGGACATAATGGCCGGGCAAAGGAAGCGTAAGAATAGAGAAGCAGAGACGAGTCGCTGGCCAATGTCCACCTTTCCCCGCAACTGGCACTCTTCTTGCCAGGCTGTGAAGATTTCACTCAGCTCGGCTGGAAAGGAGCTGCAGAGAGAAGGAAGATGGCGGGCTGAAAGCAGTCCTAAAGGCATACCACAGATCCAGGCAGTTGTTATAGCCGTGTCTCCTAGCTAAGCGACCTCACTTGCACATATGAGCTGTGCCTCAGAGGGTGCTTGGGTCTGGATGCAGGACCAACCACAGCAATTCGCCTATTGCCCGCCCAGGGACTGAATTCAGGAACATCTGGTGATCCCACCTGCAGCCAACCCAACTTGTTACTGCCTTTTTGTATAATAACCCACTGCCTTTTTGTATAATCTCACATGAAGGCACGCTGCTTATACTAAGGTAAGAGTGGGGTAAACCACAAATGTACAAAGACACTCATTATACTTCGCTTTACATGCTAAACCTTATTCTAGCAGACAGCCCATTTTTCTAGTTAATTTGGGCCTATAGGCTGCCTGCTCGATGGGCCATAAATGATCCCAGATCAGACCCTTCTGGCCCAGCAGTTTGGGGAATCAGAAGCCCAGAAATCCCTACCCAAAGCATCTCCAAAGAGCAGCTCTGATTCCCCCTCAGTGGTGGCAGGAGGGACAACTCCCTGACCCATCCTGGGGCTGCACTCAAGTACTCACTTGCTGGACATAGCAATCCTTCGGAAGACCTCTTCGCAGAGTTGCTGCAGATTGTTGCGATTGTCAGCCAGGTCACGGGAAGGGCATTTGCTTGGGTCCACTTCACAACAATCCTCCAAAAAGTTTGGCTGGGTTACAATGTCACCTACGACACATTCCCCCATAGGTTTCCGTTAGGTGACAGCGATGGCTGTAGATGCGACTCTGTTGCTTGCAGAGCCACAGTTCTGGGTCACAAGGGTATTTCTAACCTAATTTCTTGCCTCCAACTAGAAATACTCCCAGATTCTTTGATGAGCCTATCATTGCTTATGAAGGACATAAGCAAAGATAGTCATATTCAAGCAATATCAATTATGGATTTAGCTAGCTCTTCAGGGTCCTTCCAAACTGTAAAACAACCAAAGGAGTGGGAGATGATTACTGTAGTGAGAAGTATATGGCTACTATCAGCCATAGATTTCTCTTACCATCTCTAATCACAGTTCCCCTTATGAATTGAGTAACAGTTATAGGCAGTAACACTGTGCATTTTTGTTCAGTATTATAAAGTGGCCTTAACTCATTGTTCCTAAAAAATACTATACCTTTGCTCTTCTACTGCTAGCCAGCTTCTAATTTAACTTACTTAATGTGGCCAGCAGGTATGAGCTTCCCACCAGCTTCATGTATTCATCAATGGCCTTGGTGGCAAGTGTGTTTTCACGAAAAATCAAAGCTTCCCGGTCATCAAAACGGTCCAGCTCGGCTATACCCAAGTCAATGAGAAAGTCCTGCAATGCAGAGGGGGAAAGGGTTAGGATAAGTCCCATCCTGTTCTATTCCTATGTTTGCATTTATATCCTACTTTCAGACCAGGCTTGGGATGTTAGGGAAAAGGCAAAATGATACCAGGTTCTCCAGTGGACCTGAGAACCACCTTGACAGCTAAAACAATAATGTTACAACACCAGATGATCTAGCAATAAAACAGCCCATGAGGGAAAAATCAGCACAGCAGCAGGAGGAAAACTCTGATGATGAATCTGAGTATCAAGTTATTTCCCAGGACCTCAATGTCAGTCTGCCTATTAGTAAAAGAGCTGGTACCTTGGCTTTGCCTGTGCTTTGCAAGACCCGCACGAGAACACCCATCAGCTCTTCCTTGTCCCTGGCACTGAGGTTGGGCTCCAATGAAACACATAGTTCCCGATAACGGAAAGTAAGATATTCAGCAAATTCTTTGTACTGCACGATGGGCAACACTTTGATATTGCAGTATCGTCCTCGTAGCCGGAGGGTAGGCATGTTTGGCTTCTCTTTGCCCAGTGGGTACCATCTCTCCAAAGGTTGGCGCACAGCAGCCAGATCCTTTAGGGGAACAGACATACTGGCAACAGAGCTGTCCCTTGGCCACAGCCCTTCTTCTTCCTGTACCAGGCAGATCTGGAGTTCCACAGCTGGTGGAAGAGTCTTGAGGTCAAAGTGCTCGCCCCAGAAGAGAGTTCCTATGGGGCTGGCTTGCTTGGCTGTTGTGCGGGCATATAGGGCCCCATCCAATTGGAGTTCACAGCGGTAGTGCTTCCTGGGAGACAAGTCTCGGGCTTCATATACCCAAAGACTTAGCCTGCGCTCCATCCGTTGGCAGTTGTCCTGGAAAATGGATGCAAGGGACAATATTAAGAAATGGGACTGGATGCAAAGCAAGATGTGCTACAAATTGCCCAGTGTGGCACCTTCTTGATGTGTTGGACTCCAAGTCCCATGAAACTCATACCTCCACCATAACCACTGAAGAAAACTGTGTGGTAACACATGAAACTGTTAGATATGAACGTAAATGAATCTTCACAAAGAAACGGCAAGAAGCAAACAGGATTAGGTCCAAACCAGATGAAAGTTCAAGATCAAGGATCTGCTGGTGGGAGCAGGGGGCAGGCAGACGAGTGGGAGGGAGTGAAGGGAACAGAGGCCTGTCAGTGCTTACAAACACTGCTAACTCTTTATGACTCTTTGGTCATAAAGACTAGAATTTCTGCTTTGGATGAATGACTGAGACAAGCACAGAGACCATGGTAGAAGACAAGCAAGGAGATTTTTACAAGGGAAAGACACAGGGAGAAAGAAAGGCAACTTGGTGATGGTGGGGAGACTTTTCTATGAAAAGTAAGTCCATATTTTGAATAGCACAAGGCAAGACTGCTTTACCATACTGGGCTGGACAGCTTGGCGCAGGTTCTCCATCCAGTGGGTTCTCTCAGCAGCAGATGGGCAGGTAAAGCAGTAGCGCCTCCCAGCACTCAAGATCTAAGAGAGGAGAACTCTGGTTAAGGCATGCCATGGGCCAGGCTGGCCTCTTCTCTCATTCTGGGGTAATGGTCCCTTTGTCAGGACTAGCAAAGCTTTAGGCAGCTGAAATGGGTGCTAAGAAAGGACATGATTCATTACTGCTCTATTTTGATTGCCAAGGAAGAAAAGGGGTTCATTTAAGATATTCATCTTGAGACACCAGACTAAGCTGGCTTGCCATGCCTATCAGAGGGCAGAGGACACCTTTTGTTTATCCAGCTCAGGCAGCAAAATGTTTAGGGCCGGAGCTGCCCTATGACAAAGGGTACACAGGTTAAGCCTTCTGCCTCTTTTATAGATCCTGGCAGCTAAGAAAAGAACTTCCTGCAGTCCCTCATCTAGCCAGGACAGCTTTATGGATGAACTGAGTTTCAACCTGAAGACAGTTGAACCTCCAGGTCGACTTGCAGAATATAGGCTCATGAGTGATCAGAACCATTATCTTATTACTGAGTCAAGTGATGAAAGAATATATAGCTATTCTCCCCCATGTATACAGGACGGGGAAACTCTATACCTCAAAGCAGTACTGCTCTCCCACAAGGCTGCTATGAAGTGGTCGGATCAAGACATCTTTCTCATTGCTCAAGTCCAGGGTAAGAGCTGGGCCAGGCAAGGCCTCCCTGTAGGAAGCAACAGAAAGACCAGGCCAGAATAAGAACTAGAATGTGTCCATGAACTCCAGCCCAATTGCAGAGATCAATCACTATCTGGACATGTCGCTATTCAGAGATTCTTTTCAAGTCATCGGCTTAGCTGAGGAAGTTACTGTAGGCCTGTCTCTCCTGCCAGGATTAGCCCAGAACTGAATGAGACTCCAGAGGAGGAAGAGCCTAGTTGTCTGTCCAAGGATTCAAAGTATTCTACTAGAGTCAACCACCAGCTTTTCCAAAACCATATCCTAGAAAAGAGGCTTTGCTTCAGAATTCAGGGAGTCAATGACCCATTCTCCTGTAGACCTGCCAGGATCACTTTTAGAAGCAGAGGCATAGGCATGCCTGAGCAAAGTTCAAAGATGGCACTTTGGACCCAGAGGCCTATTGAGGATGAGTAAATGAGAAACCTCATGTATTCCAGATCAAGGCCCAATGATAAGCCACAACTGAACTATGAAACAAACTATGAAGCCAATCATTTGGGGCCAAGCCAGAGCTGAAGCAGCAGATAAGCTCCCTGTGCTCCCTGTGCCCCTGCTTTCCTGTCTGCCCTACCAGACAGTGCCTGAGTAAGTGGAGACATCTAGATAACTTCTTAGAACCTAAGCAGGGTTGGCCCTGGCTAGAACTTGCTTAGGAGACCATCCAGAATTCCAAGGTTGTTATCTAGACTGGAAAGCTGAAAAACCATCCCGGAGGACTGTAATGGTAAAATACTTCCACAATGCTGCCAAAAAACCTGCATAGATGGAGTCATCCTAACCTTTACCAGCTAGTTCTTTGGCTTTTTCATATGGCTGAATTTTGGATCAGATGTCAGGAGTGGTAGGAATGGGACACACTGGCAAAAAAGTAACTATAAAACAAGTTATACCATGTATCCAATCAGGTAAAAATGCCCTTGAAACCATGAGTTGCTGCAGGATAAAGTACTTTTTAAAAAATTCAACCATTCAATAATGGGGAGAGCATGGGAGTCCTGGGGGCAGCTGGCACCCTGATGTCACTCCTGACTTATTCACCAATTCCATCATTCTTGGAATTTATTTATTATTTTTTAAGATTGTTATTATATTGTATTTTAATTGATTTTAATCTCCTTTGTAAACCACTCAGAGTCGCTTTTCAATGAGATGGGCAGTGACAAATTTGATATATAAATAAATAAAAATAAGTAATGGGAGCCTGGCAACTTATCAATCTTTGAGAGGTCATACTGATTCTCAATATTTCTCACTCATGTTTTTAATCTCCTTAACAATCTTATGCAGATAGCACTTTTATTGTGTCTTGATAGTGCTCAGTTTGTTCTCCAGGCATGAGAAGCCCTAGGGTCCCGCTGCTGGAATATCAAGGGTTCTGGGGGACAGCTATGAATGCTAGTGCCACACTCTGCCCTAAGCCAGCAATAAACTGGTGGTAACAATAACATACTTGGAAGAGTTTTTCATGGCATTTTAACCTCTCAGAAAGACATTGTCCTAGCAATCTTTTACATGCCATAGTAGTGACTTTATAAAGATGCTTTCAATATTCTGTTTTGCTTACACAGTCCTCCAATATTTTTCTCTGTTACAAAACCTTCAGCTCTTTTGTTTTGGATTGGACTCTTCCCCAAATGGTGCATTTCACATCAAATTCCCACCACCCCACCACCTCCAGCAAGTATGGCCCATATAGAAAGCACTAGATTGAGGAAGTCTGGATTAAATGAGTGGAAGCTCAGAGAACAGACAGATAACATTTTGGGGCCATAACTCAAACTGGTTGTCAGAATACTAGCTGAACCACAGAGAAATAGATGAGCCCATCACACCTCAGCTAATACGTTCAGTAAAATAAAGTGAATCAAGAAAGAGGCAGACAAGATAAGGCAATGAGAATTCCTGTTAGAGCCTACCTATTGCCATCCACAACAGATTCACCCAAGGAGTCAGTCTTAGAGTGGCCCCGTCCCTTCCGATCTCTGAAACGTCTCCAAAGCAGCCCCTGGAAATAGGAGGAGAAGGAAAGAACAATTATGAGGATTTCCTGCCATTGGGGCAAGGGGGCAAAGCTAGAAGTCTTTTGGCCCAGTGTTCTTCCAAGTTTCTCGGCCCTTCACAAGTCAACCTAGGCAATGTCCCCCAAAGCAGAGAGCAAGAGTGACCAGGCTACACCTTAGCAAGATACCTGCGGAGCAGTTAAGACCAATTGATCCAAGCCACATATCGTAACTGAAGACAGCACCTCTCCCAAATGAGTGTCCCTCAAGGCCTCAAATGTTGATTTTGACAGACTTTAATGTGGGGAAATTTGGGGGTGATACAGCTAGACAAAAGTGACTGAACAAGTTGGCAGGAGGAGAGATGAAGCAGGAGGGGTGCAATGATCTGCTATGACTGGGGGAGGACAAGAATAACATAGCAAGCTGCTATAACTCTAAAGTAACATTCCTACAATAGGATTTTCATTCCAGATTCTGGGACACCTGGGGAACACTGAGCTAGGTAAAGGAGGGCCACAGAGAGATCCTGAGAAGCCAGGGTGTCATCAAGAGAGTGCCTTCACTTGACCTCCTTGCCCTGCCCCTCCACTACTCTGCAATATAGCACACGTCTCTTGTACCTTCACATTGCCAAGCTGGGTGCCAGAGGAAGCATCCTGGAAAGCCTTTTTCTCAGGAGCCTGTCCTTCCATGGAAAACTGTCCTGGAACAAAGTGAATTAAATGGAAGTCAAGCACAGTGAAAGAGCTGGAGGACAAATGAATTATAGAATCATAGGTTTGGGAGGGATTTTGGAGGTTTTTCTAACCCAAAACCCTGCCCAGGGTCCTTTTCCTTATACCAGGATAATTATACCCTAATCTTTATACCATCCCAGACAGGTTTACCAAGCTTTGCTTGAAAACTCCATCAATAGAACACCATGACTGCAGGGAGGAGGCTGTTCCACTATTTAATAGCCGTCGTACTCAGGAAATCCTCCCTTACTTCAGATTTGAACCTCCCTCTTTAAAGGTTCTACCCATTGCTTTTTGTCCTACCTTGGGTGCTATGGAGAATAAATCCACACCTTCTTTCTTGTAATAAATAGCTCTTATAGTATTGGAAGACTGCTGTCATGCCTTCCCTTAGCCTTCTCTTCTTTAGGGTAAACGTACCCAGTTCCTTCAACCATTCTTCATAGGATTTAGCTTCCAAGCCCTGCTGTATCTTTGTCACCCTTCTCTGCATTCTTTCCAGTTCCTTAGCATCTTCTTGTATTGTGGCAACTAGAACTGGGTGTAGTATTCCAGGTATGCTGTGACCAGTGCAGCACAGAGCCAAACTATCGCTTCCCATGATCCCAACAGTATATTTCTATTGATGCAGCCCAAGATTGCACTGTCTCTCTTATTAGCTGCAGCACATTGCTAGCTCATGCTTAATCTGTGGTCTATTAGGGCACCCAGATCCTTCTCACAAGTACTACTGCCAAAACAGGTACAGCCTGTTTTGCTACCTAAAAGCAAAGCCTTAGCTTTCTTGCCACTGAACTGCATATTGTTAGATAAGGCCCAATGTTCAAGTCAATCAAAGTCCTTTGAACCTGGAGCTGGTCTCTCCCAGCTCTGTGGTATCTGCAAATTGATGAGCAGCTCTTCTATCCTCTCATCTAAAGTCATTTATGAAAATGTTGAAGAGCACTGGACTCTGGAGGGCCCTACCGCCTACCTCTCTTCATGTGGACATGGGTCCACTGAAGATCACATATGGAAGATGAACGGCATATCCATTCATCTAATAATGGGATCATCTGTCCCACATTGTTTCATTTTATAAAAAAGGAGGCTATAGTCAACTTTATCAAATGCCTTACTGAATTGTAGGTTACTACATCCACAGCATTCCCTTGGGTTACTAATCTGATCATTTTGTTAAAAAAAAAAAAAAAACAGAAAGATTTCTCTGGCATGACCTATTTTTAACAAACTCATACTGGCTTCTGGTAATTACCTTGTTCCTCTCTGAGTGCTTGCAAACCCATTGCTTGATTATCTCTTCTAGGATTTTCTTGGGTACCAATGGCAGGCTGACTAGCTTGCAGTTTCCTACTTTTTTTCCTTTTTTAAAGGATAGGAGCAACATTAGTTCTTCCCTAATCTTTTGGCACTTCCCCCATATTTCTCCTGCCTCAAAGATGACAGTCAATAGTTCTGAGATCACATCTACCAATTCATTTAGCACCCTAGGATGTAACCTATCTGGTTTCAGAGACCGTAATGGAACTCAGATTTTGTAGAGACACTCACAATCCCAATCTGCGGCCCCTTTAATCCTGAGGTGCTATCCATTCTTCTACTGAAGGGCTCAGATTTTACTGGGACCACGAGCAGATTTAAGCCCCATGAAACCCAGACATAAGCATTTTAGAAGTAAGTACCCCATCAAATCCCATAGTGTTGGCTTCAATGTTGGATTAGTGGTGGGAGATAGAGGGAAGAGAGGGGCAGTCAAAGATCATTTTTTTGTTTTCTAAAAGTTCAGGCAATGGGAATGTCAATCTCTCAATCTCCTAGAAGGTATAGAAAACTGGGAGATTGATATCCCCATGCATTAAACTCCTTTGCAGTTTCTCACCTCTTTGGGTTTTAACTGGTGTACAAGTCCCTAACAGAAGCCTTGGCTGGAAACCTGGGCTTTTGCCACCCCATCCACAAGAAACCCCTGTTTGAAGAATCTATTTACATTTGAGATATGATGATCTACCAGAAGACCAGTAGATCTATCTCCTGGTAAGTTGTCATATCTCAAAAAGAAAGGGGAACAAAAGGAGAAATTTAGTAAGAGTCCAAAATGGCTAGCTGTGTGGACTAAGGTGCTAATCCCCAGCCAAATGTCTAGTCATTCTCACAGCCAAGACAAAATGGCAAGAGTGTCATGTTGCCCAGCAGTAACGCTCCCTACCATTCAACTCCAAGGAAACAGTCAATACGTTTAAGCAATATCTGATATCAGTAATAGGATGGATGAGGGAGAACAAGCCGAAATTAAATCCAACCATCCCCTTCTTCATCTCCAATCAGCTGGTCAGAAGTCTATCCTAGGGATGTGTGTGTGTATGTGTATGTGTGAGTGTATAAAGAGAGAGACAACACTCACTATTCTCCTTACCCGGTCGGAATATTGAGTTACTCTCTGAAACAGAACTGCTGGTTCGTTTCCGGTTCTCAAGCAGACTCTGTAACAGAAAAGAGAACGCTGTAGGCAGACTCACTACTTTGTTGTCCATTTGTTGTTGTTGTTGTTGTTATTAATCTAGCCTCAACCCCACACCTCTAGCCTCACAGTCTAGTGAGCAAAATAGATGTCTGTCTCTAAGGCAGCAGTAAGAAAGAGCAGCATTTTCCAGGAACACAACCCTGGACACAGTGGCTTGGGTGGGAGGGTGGGTGATGTCAGCCTGCTGCAGTGCTCTCCTAAGGAAGAGATGCTCCTTGACAACAGGAGCATTCTCAGATTCCCCTCCTCCCCTTCCTTGAGTTCTGAAAGCCAGAGATGCCCCCACCTCCTCATCTCTGCCCCAAAACACCAGCCGTCCATCCTGCAGAGACACATTAGCCACATCCCAGGGAGGAGCACCAGGAACCTTGCTTGGAGTCAGCTGGACAACAGAATCATCACCTGTAAGAAGGAACATGGATGCAATGTGTGGGAGAGCTGGAATATGTCTCTGAGCTTACCAGGATCAGACCCACAACATACGATATAGAAGAGTGAGCGCTACTCACTTTTTCCTCCCACTAAGTAACTACAGCTCATCATGGAGCCTTTTCACAGTGGCCCAAGAGTTCTCTTTCTTTGTTCTTTTCCCTTTGAGAGCTTTTGTTCACATGTGCCAGATGTTCAGGTAATGCATATGCTCTGCTTTCCTTGGAATCCAGTCACTTATTTTTCTTGGCAAAGACCCAGAGGGTGGCACCCATGAAACGGGGAATCTGAGGCACTGAAAGATGTGGGTGTGGGGTGCAGTATGCTTGTCAACAACCCATTCAGTCAAAATGAGATAGGAGCAACCAAGGCCCCAGAGATAGGTTCTGGGATTATCAGAACTGAATCATGCATGGCTACTGAAGCAGGAAGAGCTAGACTGGAGGGACGTCTAGTCTCCTGGGGCCAGCAACAAGGCTTTGCAATGGACTGGGTTGAAAGAATACTGGCCAATACAGAACGCTGACGATTTGACTTTATAAAGTCACCAATGCTGAACAAAGGCACAGATATTGATGATGGAGGGGCTAACTGTAAGGTTTGGAAGAGTAACCTGGAGTGTCTTTAGCCTTCCTTGTCTGCTGCAGCCCTTCTCTGGCTGGCTGGGATTCTCGGGAAGGCAGCTTCCCTCAGCTTGAATTGGAGCACCACTCCCATCACCCTAGGAACACCATAATGCCTGGAGCAAGGGGCTTTGTAGACCAAAAGATCCAGAAGGCAGCGGATTAGAATATATTGCTTGATATTTATGCTCAAGCTCAGGGAGGATCAGAGGGAAAGGAGGGAGTGGCTGTCACACTCCTGGCCCGGAGGAGACTCCTGCCTGCACTTGTATTTGCTGTGCAGCGATAGGGATCAGGACCAAAACGGGCTGGCAGTGTCCTTGTCAGATGAAGAAACCAAGGTGGGCAGAGAAAGCTTCTGTTGCCACCTCCAGACACCTCCACCTGCAGCGAGGGTTAGAACCAGCTGAGGAAGAGCAGGGCTGTGCCCCATTTGATGCCTTTTATTTTCGCAAGATTTTAGCTAGTATATATATTATTAAAAGAAACCCAAAGGAGGGAACAGTAAAAAATGAAATAGAATTTTAAACAGCAGGAGGAGGAGGACGCTCCCTAAAAAGCTTATATTTAAAACTCTAACATGGTTAAAAATACTAGCACTTACCGAAGTCACAGACACCAATTTACCCCACAATTAATTAATTAACGCACACACGCACACACACACATTGGAGAAAAGGACTGAAACTAACAGGAGACGAGATTTAGCAGAGAGAAATGTACAGTTCTTCAGTTAGGGAACAGAAATTAAGTTGGAAACACTTGGCTTAGCAATAATACTTGTGAAGCAAAAATGGGCACAGTAGCTGACTATAAAGTGAATATACAGTAGTTAGCAGTGTGATGTGGCTGCTACAAAAGCAAATGCAATTATAGGCTGCCTCAACAGAAGTACCATTTCCAAATCACAGGAAATCTTTTAAAATACTCTAGCCCCACGTGTACATTTCTGCATGTGTGTACACACACACACACACACACACACCCTCCTAACAGCAGTTTGACAGTGGAACTGATTATCCACATCTAGGGAAGGGATAAGTTTCCTCTCATGGAATTGTTCAAGTGGAGGCTTGGCACCAAGTGTCAGAAGTGCTTTAATTTGGATTCTTGCCCTGAGCAGAGCATTCAGTTCAATGGCCTACCTGGACCTTTCCAGCAATCCGATTTTACAAAGTTCTATAGACAAATCAATTATAATTTCATCCCAAAGTAATTTTCATCGTCATGATTTTTCTCATTTGCTCCCACTTCCTGGATCATTGAGTTCGATGGGCAAGAAATAATGGAGGAAAGAATGACACTGAGGTAGGATGCAGTGGGAAGAGGCAGGGGAATCAAATATTCTGCTCCCTCCTCCCAGCGTGAAATCATGATTGACTTCTAATTAGAAGCTTAGAGCAACTTTGCAGCATTCATCAGATACCACAGAAGCAGGGGGATTATGACACTTGCCGACCTGACTGCCTGCTTCCTTTTGCTCACAGCTTTGCACTGTGAAACCATTACAGTGAGTGAGGGGCCATTCTATAAGGAACACTTACATAATGCTGTTTTCTGTATGATTATCTTTCCAACCAAAAATAAATGTTGACTCAAATATTGAGCTGCCTTTTGTAGGAAAAGTGGCCAGCAGCTACCAGGTAGTTGCTGAATAAGGACCCTGCACGATATCTTTATTCACATCTGTGATTGCTTTCGGTTTTAGTCAAGAGTTTGGGTATTGTGATAGCAAGAGGATGCAGCTGACTGATACCTGCAAGTCTGCAACCACCTCTTATATTCTGACATAACTGAATAATGTGGATGTCCATGTTTCAGAATCAGATTGAATAAACCTAATCTTATCTATTTTTCCACCATTTATACTGAAAATGGACATGCACAATTCATTACCTGGGGTATCCATCTTTTATAATTTAAAGCTACAATCATTAAGATGAGTTTGGACAACAAAGTTTGGGGTAGCGGTTAAGGCACCCGGCTAGAAATTGGGAGACTGAGAGTTCTACAACCACTTTATGCACAAAGCCAGCTTGTGACCTTGGGCCAGTCACTCTCTCTCAGCCCTAGGAAGGAGGCAAGGTCGTGGGAGGGCAAGGCACACAGGGGAGTAGG